AGTCGAGGGATAAGTTTTTTAAGTATAAGGGTGTCTTCCGCAAGGTGTATCGGTTCGGTCTCTTATGTTTTTTGTGTGTGGTATTTAGTAGTTGCTCTGTGCCGAAGGAGAAATGGGACAAATCGTTTTCAGCGTAGTCAGAATATTTAAAGTGGTCCAGGGGTAGGTTTTTTGAGTATAAGGGTGTCTTCCGCAGGGTGTATCGGTTTGGTCTCTTATGTATTTCGTATTTATCACTCAGAAATGTCTCTGTGCCAAAGGAAAAATAAGACAAATCATTTTTAAAAAATCCAGGAACGTTCCAAACTTTAATCGCTCCAGGAACGTTCCAAACTTCAACTAGCTCCTAGATTCAACATCACAGACACTAAAAACTCCTTACCAAACCATTTTAAAACCGAATCAATATTTAAAAACATGATTACGTTAAATTATGTAGATTTTTCTCCAATTTTCAAGCTTTCAGCCACCATATTAGATCAGCCATCTTGGATTTCAAAACGGGGCACATGACTTTCGAAAGCACTAATAAAGACTAATTTTTTGAGCTATCGAACGTCTTTGTAGGTCGCTTCAAATTTTGGGCAGACAAGTGATCCGGTTGACGTGAAACGTCCCATATATATATGTATATATATATATATATATGTATGTATAATGAAACAAATTGACAAATTGTTGTTGCGCATAGAGAACGGATGACGACGGATCGATTGGAAGGCTCAACATAGAAGCGTCTTCTTCGCAATTCGAGTACCTTCGGAACTTTGTAAACGGCCAAGGTTCTATAAGGGAAGTTGACAGAATTCTCAAAAATGCGATAAAGCGACCCGCATACTCGGCGTGTGATTATATGGCCGTCTTTTCCGTTTTTTTATCCGGGGCGTCTTATCATTTCAATTTGTTTACGAGCAAAGCATCCGAGTATTGGACGCTTATGAATGAACACGTAAGAATAATAGTATTTGTGTATAATATTTATAAGATTATACCTCCACACATTTTGAGTTTATGTATTTAGCGATGTGGATCTAAATCAATTTTCTAAACTGTTACAGTGGGACATAACTATAATCGCCTTCACACTCGTAGCTGGTTTAATAATTTTGAGAAGACAAAGATGGTCTCGAGGCTTACTTATCTTTCTCATGATTGATGTTATATTTGTAATCAGTTTCTTCATAACTTGGTGGCGACTTATACAGGTAATTTATATATTATTTTATCACGGAAAAAATGTACACTTTTAAGTATATACATTTGTATATCGATCATATTGTGAAAACTTATGTAGCGTATATTAAAAATGAAGTATATAACGTACATATCTATATTTTGAATAAAATAATGACGATAGATTATAATTTTTTATTTAAAAATTTCTTCTATTTCGCAAGAAGCAGAAATTAAATTAATGGCGGCACAAGCGCAATTTGCTGAAATGCCAATTGCCCGCCAGCCGGATAAAATGAGTCTGTGGGACAAGATGTGGGAGAAGATTGCATCCTGTGAGTATCTGTGATGTGTAGTGCATTAAAAAAAAAAAAAAAAAAAAAAAAACATTGA